CCCCCCGGTTTCTTTAAGACCTCCTCTTCAATAATTAAGTTTTTGATACAGTAAGTTTTTATATTTATATTTTGTAGATTTTGTTGAGTTCTACATTTTACTTTTTGAAACAAACTTAAATTCAAATTTTGAGCTGAGTTATGGGTCGGATAAGTTGGCATGAAGGATTTCCTCTAAAAAAAGCCTCATGCACTTTGACCTCAATTATCTGGGGCCTAGTAAGAGATATCAAAATAATGTCAGCTGATAAAATGTTGAAGACATTATAATAAATATTTTATCAGTTGACAAATTTTCGATAGCCCTATTTTGAACCGAGTTATGGAGTTTTGAAAAACTTACAATCTTCAATTCCGTAGTTGTCTCCTCCACAACCGCTGTTGTCGTTGTTGTTGGAGCAGTTGTGGTGTCTGATTGCTCATCATAAGGTTGGAATTTCTCTGGTTCCACTTGTAGAATAGCCTCTCCTCTTAGTGTATACGGACGATCGCAAAGTGTCTCATTGGCGTTGGAAATGAAAAATGTGGAACCAGATTGCTCAGATTGCTTTACACGATCCTCGACTCCGAATACAACTGAAAAGAGGTAAATGTTAGATGTGCAGGTGCTAGGGGGTACTGTAGATTTGAATTTCCAAAACTTACAATGTGCCAGCTCTCCATCGCAAATAAACGGATTGGAAGACACATCCAAGGTTTCCACAGCTGGCAGATTTTTGACGAGCTGAAAATTTATTTTTTCAAAAATTTAAACGGGATACTGTAGTTTCTCACATTTGGCAACGACTTCAATTTGTTTTTCTGCAAGTTTAACTTCTTCAAAACGTCCTTTTGATTGTCAAAAGTGTTCGCATCCAAACTGGAAATATTGCATTTCGATAAATCCAAATCCATCAGTTTCGGATAGTCTTTCAACTGATCAGCAGTGATGTTTGTGAATCCACACTCTGCTAAGCCCAACTTCTCTAAGTTTCCAAGGCCAGTGGATGGAAGTTTCGAGATTGGATTGTTTCGAAGACTCAGAATCTTCAGTTTCTCCGCTAGAGGCTTGAAAACTTCCGATGGAATCGTTTTTATCTCGTTCCATCCCAAATCGAGGTCTTCTAGCGAGGAAAGGCCGAAGAAGACGTCAGGCTCGAGGTTTCTGAAATAGACATTTTCGAAAATCAGAAAATAATCTGCATTTCGAATTTTTAATCACCAAAAATGTTTATTTTGAAAGGAGTTACCGTAACCCCCCCCCCCTCCTAAGAGTTAACTTTAAGCCAATTTATCATAGTTCCTGTAAAAGATATCAAAAATTTATCAACAGATAAAATAATTGTGATAACATGATAATCATTTTATCAGTTGACCACTTTTTGATATCTCTCATAACAACCGAGATATTTAAGCTCAAGTGTCAAAGTTTATGGCGCACACTAGCCCACTTTCTCAACTTTGACCTAATTTATCGCATTTTCTGTGAAAGATATCAAAAAGTGCTCAACTAACAAAATGTTCATCATTTTATCACCAACGTTTAATTAGTTAACAAAATCTAGATATCTCTTACAAAAACTGAGATAATTGGGCTCAAAGTTAATAGGTCCTATTCAGAAGGTAACTTACGAAATAAAATTTCCTGCAATCGAAAGTCTCTGAAGACTCTCTAATCCATCAAACGCATAGGCAGTGATATTTTCAATAAGGTTCACTCTTAAATCCAGCTCCTTCAACTTTTTCAATGTGGCGAATTGTCCGGGTTCGAGGGTTGGAATTGAGCATCCGGAAAGTTTCAAAGTCTCGATTTGGGGGATTTCTTTGAAAAGGTCTTCTGGTGGAGAGAAGATTCCATCGGCGCGGGAGAGGTCGAGGGTCTGAAAATTGACATTTTCAGTTGTATTTAGTTTCAATGTGTTGGGGTTAAATTGAGCTACAAATTGATACAGCAGTTCACTAGCGCCGCTTGGCTACGCACTTGCAAACGCTCTAATATCCTTCAACTTTGAGCCAATTTATCTCGGTTGCTGTGAGAGATATCAAAAAGTTATCAACTGATAAAATGTTTATCAAAAAAATTAAAAACATTTTATTAGTTTATCAATTGTTGATATCATTCAAAAGAATCGAGAAAATTGATTTCAAAGTTGGTAGGCAACACTCTATCAGGCTGTCACCATATCCCAACTTGGAGCTCACTTTTCTCGAGTCCTATAAAAGATATCAAAAAGTGATTAACTAATAAAATGTTTATCACAATATCAGCAACATTTTATCAGTAAACCACTTTTCAATATATCCTACAGGAAATGAGATATATAGGCTCAAAGTGTGCAAGGCGTTCGGCAGCCTAGCTCAGCCGCGCGCACTTTTCGAGCTTAATTATCTCAATCTCTGTAAGAGGTATCAAAATTTTGTTAACTAATAAAATGTTTATCACAATATCAGCAACATTTTATCAGTTGACCACATTTTGAAATCTTTTACTGAAAATGAGATATAAGGGATCAAAGTTAGTAACTAATAATAGCTTCAAATTCTAGATTTTAGAAAAATTCAAAATAGGTTTAAAAATTACCTTCAACGCTTTGAGCCTTCCAATTTCTGCAACTACCGTATCATTGACGAAATTATGTTCTCCAATCACAAGTGTCTCCAAAGAAGTTAGCGGTTCGAAGGCCTTCTCCTCAATCGAAGTGATAAAGTTTCCAGAGACGTCGAGATAGGAGAGCTGAAACCAATTTTGGAATGTTCTGGAAGAATTCTAAAATCATTTTGCCAAACCTAGAGACACTTTTAAAAATCCCAAGAATCTAGAATCCCCCCCCCCCCCCCCCTCAAACTTCCAAGTCTCCTGTAACGATTAGTCAGACATCGAAAACGTAATGCTTGTTTGATTTCTATTTCTCTGGGGTGTCTGAAGTACATAAAAACCGAGACGGAAGACAAGTTTTGTAACGTCATCTCCCCTTTTTTTGTCCCTCTTAGAAATCGGAAGACACGGGAGAGATACATAATTGACGGCTTGAACACCCCCCCCCCCCCACTTGTCTGTCGGTGTGTCGGTTTGTCCGGATCTTTCTTTTCCCTTGGATCCCCGGAAAAGGGGGAATTTTGTGTCCCAAAAAAGGGACCCTAAAAAGGAGGGACCCCCTCGCAGGAAGTATAATAACATCCCCCGTCGGAAGGGACCCCTCCTCTCAGAGGACCGACAAATGACAAAAGTCTGAATAGATAATAAAGGGAAGGGGGAATATGAAATTACGGAATTCAACGAGCTTTTTGATTCCCAGAAATACGAAAATGGAATTTTTAAGAGTTTTAGAATATGTGCTCTACTGGACACTCTACAAACTGAGGAGTACTCAGCTGAAGCTGCTATAAATGCGAAATTCAAAAAAAGGTGATATTTTGAAAGCGCGCTCTACTGGACTTTTGGTGAATTAGCCATAGAGCACCCTTGCTTACCTGCTTCTTATTCTTAAACTGGTCAACATCAAGGGTATCCAACTTGTTGCTTGAGAAAGCCATTGTCTCTAGATTTTCCAATGAGTCGACGGATTTTGGAATTGTCTGAAATAGAGCGAATTTGCATTGTTAGGGCGTGAAAGCTCTTTGAAATGTGTTCATCTTCTTTGAACTTCGAAAATAGAAGGATCTATCATCTTTGAGCTGATTTACCTAGATTACTGTAAGAGATATCAAAAAGTTGTCAACTGGTGAAACTTTTATCATATTATCACCTACATTTTATCAGTTGACCACTTTTTGATATTTTTTATGGCAGCCGAGATAAGTTGGCTTGAAGTTGACAGGCCTTGAGACAAGGTATCGATCGCCCTATACTAGTATTTTGGGCTCAATTATCTTAGTTCCCATAAAAGATATTGAAAATGTGTTAACTGGTAAAATGTTTATCATATTATCACTAACATTTTATTAGTTGACAAATTGACGATATCTCTTATAGCAACCTAGATAATTGAGCTCAAAGTGTGCAAGTACAAGGTGGCGCCCACTGTTGGAGGTGCCGCGCCGCTACCAGCTGAACCTCCCACCCCCCACCCGTGCGCCAACTTTGAGCCTTTGTATCACATTTCCAGTGGCAGATATCAAAAAGTTGTTAACTAAGAATATGTTTATCTTATTATCGCCTACATTTTCTCAGTTGACTACGTTTTGATATCTCTTATAGAAACGGAGATAATTGAGCTCAAAATACAAAGCAAAATCACTTACCATAAGATTACATGCATGAATGGTGAGATTCCTCAGCGTCTGCTCTAGCCCCTTAAAACTGTCATCCCCGATTTGCAACTCGTCCTGTCCCGAACATTCTCGAATATCCAAACTTTGGAGTTGTGGAGCGATTTTTGAGAATTCTGGAAGTCCACCATCTGGAAACTCCATGTGTTGAATGCTGATCTGAAATAGGTTAGAATTTAGACCGTTTATCTCCTCCAAGCCTAATTTCCCCAAAAAGTTGTCAACTACAAAAATGAAGTTCTATTTTTGTTTAGTATATTCTGAAATTTTCAGACACATCCAAAAAGCTTGGGTCCCTTTTGTAGGACTCCAAAGTTGACCATTTCCGTTAAAACAGTAGGTTTTTTGACAAACGCGCTCTATTGAAAACCAGAAAGTATTTAAAATCTCACCGATGACGTTACTAGACTTGCATTCTTCACTGCTTCTGTTGCTTTCATAAGATGGTCCAAGTTGGATCCGTAGAGACACGAAATTGCCACTTTTTCATCGTCATTGGGTTCTGGCTGAAATTTTAATTTGAATCGGTTGAAACAAGATTCTAACTTTTTGCAGTTAAATTTGAAACAATTTGGTGCAAACATCAAGCTTCTAGCTCTTCTTTGAAGCGAGTTATAATCAAGTTTGCATTTTTGGGGGATGATAAACATTTTATCAGTTGACAGATAGTTGATATCTTTTCTANGAACCAAGATGATTGAGCTCGAAGTATGCGACCTCAACAGACACCTTGCGTGAGTGGTGGAATCCTAGCTGACGCTTGCAACCGCGTAGCTCAACAGGGCGCAAAGAGAACATGTAATTTCTTATATCATTTTG